GAAACCAGACAATCTAGGGAGTAAATACCGTGGAAAAGTTCTTGAATCGGATACTACAGTCCGGAGTGATACTGGGAGAGGAGAGGACCACTGAGTTTCTGGAACAGGTGTGAGAGTGGGAGGGACAGCTTTAGGGAGACCGGAAAGGGGGTTCAAGAGATAATCTGGAAAGTCAGGGAGGCTATCTAAACGTGGGGACAGGACCATATGGTGGGGATATGAAGAAAGAAAAGGTAAAAGGAAGCCTGGATCGAGTCTGCAACTGAGCAATGCAGGGAGAGTTGTGTTCCAAGCGGGGGATCCAGAAGAGATGAGGGGGGAACCGATGGGTGGGGCCTGAGGGCAGCCTCTAGGTAGGCTGGTGGGGTATGTTAGAGGGGAGGCACGAAGGGCGGGGCAGAGTGTTACTGAAGAGCAAAAGGGTCGGGTTTCGGGTAGGGAAAGGGCGTCTGGAATAGAGCCGAGGGGCTCACTGGAGGTCGCTAAGGGGCGGGGTAGGCCAGAGGGCAAACGTGCACCGGTTTGGGCTTGCGGGGCCGGGCGCTGGGGAAAGTGAAAGAGGGAAGAAGAGGGAGACAGACACTAAGACCCGTCAGCACGAGCGGACAGGGCTTGGGTCTGGAAGACGTAAGGCGGGAGTGAGGCCCGATGGGGAAGGGTGGGGGGCGGGGAAGGTCGAGCCCTGGAGCTCCGGGCTGAGGGAGGAAAAACGCCGGCTCACCGCTTGATCCGAAGTAGACACTGAGGCGCGGTTCGCTCGCCGTCCCAGTCCGAGCTGAGCGTGGGGTCCCAATGGCTAAGCAGCGCGGCACCGTGGGCAGCGGCCGAGGGCGGGAGACCCGGTAGCGGAGCCAGGCCGCTCCCCGGGCCCCCGGCCCCGCCCGCCGCCGCCGCCGCCCACACATCCGGCAGGAAAGGCGGCCCGAACCCGCCGCCGCTCCCGCTAACGCCAACTACACCGGCAACACCGCTCGCCCCTGGGCCTGCTGCCCCGGCGCCCGCCGTCGCCGTCGCCGCCTCCTCAGTCGGACTCTCCGCCATCGCTGCTTCGCTTCCGGGACTGCTCAGCAGCACGTCCGCCGACCAGAGCGGCCGCTGCTCCCGCACCACCGAGAGCCGGGCCAGAGTGTCCCCACCCTCCGCTTCCCCAGCCCGGGCGGCGCTGGCTCCGCCCACCTCCGCCCGGACCAGCGAGAGGCGTGCTGCCAGAGCGTCCACCCACGGTCCTCCAGGGCGGGGGCGGGGGCTAGCGGACCCGCCGGCGCTCCGAGCCCGCGCAGGTCGCCGGCCTCGCCGGAGGCGCTGGCAGTCCCCCTCCGTGGAAGCCTTCGTGTTCTAGTGTTGATCTGGGAGCAGGAAGTTCAGAGACGAGGAGGGAGCCACGGCTTCTGCTTTAAAGGGAGGGACCATCCGATGCTCAATCCTGGGGCAGGACTGAGGTCCAGCTGCCCCGTGGCATGCTCGAAGGGAGGGCTTGACTGATTTAGACCCCTGCACGTCCCCAAGGCTCTGTGATACCTCACGCCTCATCGTCTTCTCTTCCACCAAGGACTACTATTGCCCCCTGCCTGCGGCTGGACCTAGAGGGAGAGCGGAATCAGAACTTTCGAGTGAAACACCGTTTCATTTCCTTCCGCTTCATTTCATTTCATTGAAATATTTCATTTCGATATTTATTTATGAAGGGCCTACTAAAGGCCAGGAGTTGTTGCTAGGCATTGCCCTGGAGATAATGACACAGAGTAGACAGCTTGGTAGAGGGAGTCAGGTTTGATTCCAGGCTTTTTTCTTCTTGCTAATCCTGGAATTCAGGGCTTGAAATTCGGGATTTCTTAGAACTATATTGAGATTGGTGAACTCTATGACTAAGTGAGAAAGGCCTTAAACCTTGTTCTCCTGACACGAATATAATAGAGTGTATGCGCTTGTAATATTTATTGCCTGGAAAACCAGCGCTACCACATGATTGAGAATTTAGACAACCCTTTCAGCTGGACTTTGGCAACATCCATAACAAACATACTGATACTTCTACAGCAAAGTGTATGATTTTTATTTTATTTTATTTTATTTTGAGACAAGGTCTCCATATGTAGCCTCCTCGGTAGGTGCTAAGGTTACCTGCAAAAACCATCACATCCAACGAAACACTCAAATTGACTCCCGGCACATTTATGAATACTCACTCTAGAACAAATAGCCAGAGCCTCATTTTGGATTACGTTTCCCCGATCCTTTTTTTGTTTTGTTTTGTTTTGTTTTTGTACCCCTAAAGGAGCCTGGCTTCTGTGATAGAACAAGCCTCTAATCCCAGCACTTAGGGAGGACTCAGGAAGGTCATGAGTGCTGGGATAGTTGGGGACCACAAACTGAGTTCAAGGCCAATCTGGGCTACAGAGTCACAGCTGTCTCCAAAAACAAATCAACAAATGAAAAGCCTGGGTTTTGGATGTTTGTGCGTTTTCCCAAATGGTCTGGGCATCTGGAAATAGCTAATGCTTTAATTATGTTTTGAAGCTGCCTTTAATGGAGTGCTGAAGGCCACACACTTTTTAATCTGCCTTATCTTATTCATTCCTTTCACCGGTTCTGTGACCTAAGGGCTGTGATTAGCCTTTTCAAACGGTAGGAAAGACAACAGGCAAACAGGTCGGTCACGGTCAGGCAACGGAGAGCAGGTGGCAGCACCGGCGTCCAGACGGGTTTAAGCCACTTTGTGCCACTGTCACTCTCCCACACTCACTGCACTCTACCTTGTCATTTTACTAATTATGGTCTTTCGGGATGAGTTGCCTTGCCCTCTGCACCCTAAAACCAAACACACATACACAGACACACCCCTGGGGCTTCTGTGTCGTTCTGAATCCAGCATAGGGCTTGCTATAGTTTTTCTTAGGAACCTTACTTGAAACTAATCAGCATAATATTTTAGAGAGGCTCCACGTTTTGTTAATCTGTCTTTGTTTGGGTTTGGGTTTTTTTTCTTTTAATGAGATAACATTTTATCAAAAGATTATTTTGCCAGGCAGTGGTGGCACATGCCTTTAGTCCCAGCACTCAGGAAGCAAAGGCAGGCAAATCTCTTAAGTTTGAAGCTAGCCTGGTCTATACATTGAGTGCCAAGATAGCCGGGGCTACACAGAGAAACAACAACAAAAACAAAAGACTGTTATTTTTTTAATAAGCTTTTTATTCATGTAAATGGGCTTCCTTACCCTAAGATGGGAGGTTCGAGAGGTCCAAAAAAAAGATTATTTTTTATTATTTTATTTTACATGTATGAGTATTTCGCCTGAATGTGTGTGCCTGGTGCTAGGAGGTCAGAAGAGGCCTTTTCTTTTTTCTTTTCTTTTTTTTTTTTTTTTTTTGGATTTGTGGATGATTGTGAGCCCCAATGTATGTGTGTATATGTGTGCTGGGAACCAACAGAAGCCCAAATCCTGCCTTTGAAACGGGGGGAATTCTTCAGCGTATTCTCACTTCTATACCACTGTTCTCCCTCCCTCTAGCTACATAGCAAGATTGGCCTGGAACTCCCCCTGATCTTCAGCCCCGACTGCTAGGATTATAAACATGCACCATCGCACCTGGCTAAAACAGTTTTCAAAGTGAAGGTCTGGAAATGATGGGGCAATAACCAGATTGTCTTAGATTCAGAAGGAAGAGATTAGGGTTTTTTTTTGTTTGTTTTTT